GTCGCTGATGAATGGCTCAAAGGAGGGGTGAAAGATACAGTAGGAAGGGGAAGCGCAGCAGGAGCAGGAGCACAGGCTGTAGCGGCAGCAGCAGGAGGACAGGTGCAGGCTGTAGCAGATGTGCAGGCTGCAGCAGGAGGCGATGCAGACACACAGGCTGTAGCAGTCGCACATACTGCAGCAGGAGGCGATGCAGAAACAGGGGTCCATGCTGTAGCAGCAGGACCAGGAGCAGGACCAGGAGTGGGAGTTGTAGCGGAAGCGCAGGTCGCAGCGGCAGGGTAGGGGGAAGAGGAGCGAAGGAGGCCGGTTGTAGAAGCATCGGGGAATGGCGGCGGGTGGTTATGTGAGCCGTGGTATACTGTCCTCACTACCACACGCATCTCAGTCCTTGGGATCTCCAGACTGTCAGTCTCCTCTGCATCTTTCCACCCTCCTACTGCGGCTGCAGCTCCCACTGCATCTCCAGCCCCCATAGCAGCTGCAGCCCCTGCAGTGGAATTCAACGCTCTTGTAGCAGAACCGCCTCTGAATGTGGCCTTTGAGTTGGTTCCTGCGCCTTGATGCCTATGCAAGGCGGCGGTTGCGCCTTGATGCCTTGGCGCGGAGGTGCTGTTTGAGCGGCGGTGCCTGGCCTCTCCAGCCACGCGGTCTTCTGTCTTCTTTGCCGGGCAGCCCGTCGCTTGCTTGGACGCGCACACAAAGTACAGCCTGCAGACATTAGCACCAAGGGATGTTGTTGCAGCATGCGTTCGAAAGCTTCAGAAAAGAACGATAACATCTGGCCCACATTCGTTGCAGAAGGACATCTTGTCCAACTGGCAGCGCTGCCGCAGTACTACTAGTAGCAGTCCCTTATATAACGTAGTAAAATGTCAGCTACAAGTGCTATTACTGCTGCTACTACTGCCATTACTGGTAGCCCCTTCTGTCACAAGTGTACTAGAAATACCTGAAGAGAAAACAAGCACTGCTGACACAGTCACTGAGGACATTTAGTACTAATGTGAGCCACTTTGTGTCCCACGGAGACTCACGGCTCCTGACCTAGTTGAAAGTATTAATGCAAGACGTTCTAGGTACTGATACGACATGCAGGATGCTACGAGGCCCGTGGCAAATGCAGGACCTGAGAAGGACGATGGTGGACTTTCTGAGTCGACTCAAAAGTCACCGTGGCCAATGCAGGAGGACGATGGTGGATTTACCTTTTCATTTGCTGACCCACGATGCGCTTGTGAGAAGTCTTTTTCCATTTGAACCCCTCATGATGGGGCACTTGCTGCGGCTGATGGGCCGCCGCCTGTTGCGTCATCTGGTTCCGAACCAGGCGATCCTGGTTCAGGCCCATGAGGATCGGCGCTTGTGTTAACTCCACGTCAGCACCATGATCACCTTCATGTGCGATCAGTTCTGAACTGGATGCTGAAGCCGAACCCCTACTACTAGTAGTGGCAGTAATAGGTTGGGCCCATCCTGGCGGAAAAACGGTCACATAATCAGGCTCGTGCTGCTGCGGCTCTTGCCTCTGGAAACAAGTAAGTTGAATGCTCACACCCACTGCTGCCTCGGAACTTGAACTAGCGGTTTTCATGGCGGTTCTCTGTAAATTGTGGAACATTTAAACAGAGAACTGATCCAATCGTCGAAAAAAATAAACCGATCGCTGATTTCAATGGAGCGCGAGGAGTCACGATATGAGTCAAACAAGTTCGAAGTCCCTGGATTCATAATCCACATATGGTCGGATGGTCGAGATTTTCCAACGGACTGTACAGAGGGAGTGCTGAAACTTTTGTGACGCAGCTGTACCAGCATGGCAAACTCTGATGGAAATGGAAGGAGGGTAGGGTTGAAGAAGTGAGATGGGTGTGTGTTACAGGTTGGGATTCCCGATGCCAGCCTTGTTTCAGTGTGTCTGGGAGGATGGGGAGAGAACGGGGTGGTGGTGGTGGTGTGGGGGGTTGGGGGGGAGAGGGGGGGAAGGGGAGGGGGGGGGGGGTGGGGGGTGTCGCTCTTCCTAAGCAACGCAATTCGCGCGTACGCCAGGGGCAATCGGATGGCAGCATCTAGATGGCGTGCAGATCCAGATAACAACATGAGGGGGGGGTGTCGGTGGGGAGAAGCGGGAAGATGCATACAGAACAGGGGGCATGAGGGGTGGTGGCATGGCGTGGCTGAGCATGATTTATGCGACTAGACTGAGGGGTGTTGACAAGATCAGGGGTACCTCTCACGCCAAGCATGATTTTCGTGCCGTGTGGAAATCAGGGTTACCTCTTACGGCTTGACATGATGAGTATGGAATCACCCTGCTAAACTTCCTGTTGTAAGTGTCAGGCCTTTTTGTTATGTCACAAAACACTCGAAGTACTGGTCTCAAACAGATAGAGTACCACTTATTCTCGCATGGCAGAAGCTCGAAGGTGGTGTTATTTCACAGACTCAACTCACAGGAACAAAAATTCATCAAAATCGGCGACCGGTTCACTCTCGAATTGCAAGAAAAAAAACAAACTACAATACAAACGCACACCAGAAAACGTGTGATATATGGGGTCCCTACCAATGAGTTGATGAGGGACCGACCTTTCATCTTTCTGTATCACCCATAAGTTTCCCGACGCCCCTTCAGAAGTACCAAAACCCCATACTACCCCCTAACCAAAACAACACCTCCCACAACCCAAACCTCCTCAACACTCCCTCTCCCCATGTCGCAAGACAGCTAACGACGTGTTGCGACCCAACAAGGTTGGGTTGGGTTGGGTTGACCTGGTCGACCTGACCATCGCGGCTCGGGGCCTCAAAGAATTTCTGAGAAATTTTGGCACATCCTCTGAGCACTGACATCGCAATCTGTTTCTAGCTTCCCTGCAGGGTAGGCGAGCTGTGACGAGTGTCAGAAACTCGCTGAACTAACGGTTACTCCGAAACTAGCCTCGCTGGATTCCAATTCGTAAACGAATACAATACGAGACTTTAGAGAGATTTTAAAATTCGTTAGATAAGGTAACTCGTCGCAATCTTGCTGAGTTGGTCGGGTCGACCTGGTTGGCCCGACCAGGTCGACCCAGATCGGGCAGACCCAACCCGACGCGGTTGGGTCGAGCTGGTTGGCTAGATCCGCAACGCAGCCTTCCTAGAAATGAGAAATCCGACCTGGTCGACCCGACCTCTTTGGGTCGCAACACGTCGTAAGCGAGAATTTGAAGCTGTGGATTCCAATTCGGGAGCAAAAATCCCAGCAATCACTTGGGTTGGCTGTTTAGCAAACTGCAGGGGCAGGGTAAGCCGGTCACCACAACACATCAAGACCCTTGTTTGTGTCCCATATATTAAAACAGCGTGTCTCTGGCTAAAACGATTCGTGTCACAGCGTATCAACACTGTAGTGCGCCTCAAAATGCCCAAAATCGGGTCGAACTGGACCCTGAAATCGGGTCACGGAAACCAATTTGACACGCTAACTCCTTCTGACCCTATTATCGTGTGAAAGTTTTGGAGAAAGGAGCCCACCTGTCAACCAGCTGTCAGTGTACAGAATTGGTTCGTTGATCGTCCACGGGGGAGCAAGTGACAAAAACTCACACTCAGCCACCACCTCCACCGCCACCACCACCATCACCACGCCAAGCTAGCGGTTGAATGAAAACAGAACAACGCTGTTAGTGTAGACTGGTGTGGGACTCTTCAAAATGGGCGGTTGAGTGCGGCTAGTTACACCAGATGGTTACTGTTTTTCGAGGTAACTGTGCTTGTCAGTTCAGAGACCCCACGAAAGAAGGACAACGGTCAGCAGTGACCTCGTTACTGGTTTTCGAGGTAACTGTGCTTGTCAGTTCAGATACCCACGAAAGAGGACAACGGTCAGCAGTGACCTCGTTCTGAAATGAAATGACAGCCAGACAGTCAACTTGTTCCACCCTTTCAATACCAACAACGCAAAATTACACCGATATGCCAACCGGTTGATTGACTCCTCCTCTACAGTATTGCCAGTACATTGTTGATCGACAAGGAAGCAACGGAAATAACTAGGGCTTGTACTTCGAACTTCGAATGTGAGAAGTGTGGTCTTGTTGTTTGTGACTGTCGCTGGGGCCTGAGGCTTGCGTGGTGCAACAGAATGTCAAACAACTTGGTACAAACGATGCTCGTTACAGTCATACAAAGTTCAGGGATGGTATCGGACTGTACATCTCAGCAGACAAGGGGACGACGGTCGCTTTATCCCCGTCGACCGTCGACCGTCGTCCACTAACCAACAGGCAGGAAAATAACTAAACCCTCTCGGATAGCATGCCATCCAAAGATGGTATCAACACTAAACATCATGTGACAATGTGTTTAGGGTTGATGCATCTCATCATGCATGCATTTCGTAAAATGTTTTAGTTATATATTTTCCCCGGGCAGCGAGCTTGCTGTGCATTTTGCCTTCCTTTGCCGAGTTCGACACGGGCAAAGGACTGTGAATTAACCCGAAATTAATAATTTCTAAATATCCGTGAATTTGTGGGTGATGTTCCTTGGGGTGTCTGGGTAACTTGCACAGTTGTAGATGCGTATCTGCTTGTACGCAATCTCTGTAACCGTAAATGACGTGCCGTTGTTGCACGTGCTCGAACGCATGAGGGAAGTGACTTCTGATTGGGATAAGCAAATGCACAGAATAATGGTAGGAATCGCGTGTAAAATGTAAGGGCGTGGTGCCTTTGCGCGCTTTTGCTCGAAGTTCGAACCTGGACCGCCTTGCACCGAAAAGAACAGTATCTAAAAGGTAGGTAAAAGTAAAGTTATACGGAAATTTAGGTAGTACGAGTATGAAGCCCATACAATTCACTTGGTAGCTCCAAGGCCGCCATGGCTCCCGCCAGGAACTTCAAGTCGACCAATGTCGATCAATTTCTTGTCAGTTGCTCACTTAAAGACTACATATGGAATCTACGTGGCACGACGTATACGGGGGTATATTTTTTGCTACTCATCATTGCACCATGGTTCGTCCAACGAAGAAGGCTGCTGCTGCTGCTGCTCTGAAGACCGGTGCGGTTGAGCGCTCGCCGCTGGACAAAGGGCATCAGACGGAGCCTGCAACGCCGGAGCCAATGTTGAAGGACACGGTCGGGCCGTTCGCTGCTGACGACTTTCGGATGTCGCTGGAAAAGAAGCTGGCCTCGCTGAGTTTTAAGACCCTGGAGGACAATGCATCCGGGGGGACAAGCGCTACGGAACAAGAGAAGGGAGACATTGGTGGTAAAGACGCGCCGGCTTCGGAAGCCCGTGTGGATCCTGTGGAAGAAGAAGATGAGGATGAGATACCGGACGATGGTTATTTGAGTGATGACCCAGAGGAGCGGCTGGACCCGGTCCGTGCGGGGGAGATCGCGGCTCTGGCAGGCTACACACTTACCCTGCTGATCCCGTTGGAATTTGACAAGGAGGTCCCGCGCACTATGGACACAATGGCGGAGTTGTTGGTCGTCTGGAAGAAGGCGTTGTCCCCGCATGCGCAGAAGACAACGAAGATGCAGACCTTGCTGCCAGCTTACCAGTCGAAGAAACGCTTCGGGAGGATGCAAGTTACCTTTCGCGAGGCTGCAGATGCGAACTACGTCTGGTGCAGGCGAGTGGAGCACATCTGCGCGGACGGGAAAACTAAGCTGGTGCTGAGCTGGCAGCACCCGGAGAACCCGCTGTATATCAAGGAGCGCGCGAAGAACCCGGAAGCGGTTGAAGTCCTGTTGAAGGAGGTTCCTGCGGAGATCTCGCCGGATATGATTTACAAGCTCCTGGTTACCACGCCGCTGGAGAAGCGAGGTCGCCCACCGTACCAGTTTGGCGCTGCTTTTCACCGAGTGGTGGATCCTGTGACGGGAGCTGACACGCATAAGATAAAGGGGTTGGTGAAAGTCCACCCGGGGGATAAGTATCGGTGGTGGCATATGCTTTATGATACGGTGCATCATAAGCAGCTGCTTGTTCATTTTCCGTCGCTGAAGTGTGATTTTTGCAACGCCATGCACTTTACGAAACTGCATGATGATTACGTTGCGAAAAGGCAGGAGAACATCTCGAAGTGGAACCTGACGCTGCAGCGAGTCCACGACATCAATGGTAAATGGCGGAAGACTAACCCTGTCTTTCAGGCTGTTAGGGTCCAGAACTGGAATGCTGACAGCCGCCTCCCACCCTCCGTGAGCAGCTGGTTCGCATCTGTTGACTGCGACGACGAAGAAGATCCTTCGGGACCCGGCGGTGACTCTGGTTTCCACGGGAGGCAGCAGGGAGGACTGGATCTGTGTCCAGGAGGCGTGCGCGAAGGCGAAGGGTTCCAGTTTCTCTCAAGCGCTGACCCATGTACGCTCCGTCCAGCACTGCACTGCGATCCTGAAAGGGGGGGAAGCTACGCGCGCAAGCAAGGGGAAGATAAATCCGAGGGCGATCCGCAAGGAGTTCGAGCTGTGAAGGGGAGTTTTGGGTCAAATCCAAGACCGGTGCCGCATGCATGTTTCAAGCAGTGGTTGATCAGGAGCAGTAGGGACAGTCGTCAGCGTTTCGGTTGCATGTTTCTTGGTTGTACTCAAGCCCGTGGATGCGAGGGGGCTCCTGTGCAGTGGATTAATGGGTAACAAAACCAACGGCATCACTCTGTGTGAGGTCAACGTGAATGGGCTCGGAAGCAACGGGAAAAGAAACAAGAATCTGAAGTGGTTGAAGAGAACGGCGGACATCATGGTGCTAACAAAAACAAGAGTAGGAGAGGATCACAACTTTTGGACTCAGCTAAGACCAACGGCGGTGGTGGCGGTGGCTCCTAGCCAGAAGGCTGGGGGAGTTGCTGTCCTCTCGTTTACAGAAGGCGTGAAGTTCACAGATGTCACGAAGCACAGCTCAGGTAGACTAGTGGGGGTCACGGTCAGCAGCACACACCTGTGTTTCCGGCTGATAGCGGCGTATCTGCCAGCGCAGGCGGGCACAAGGTCCTCCTTCCTCACCAGTGGACTTGCACCCTTTGTCAGGATGCAGCCGACGGCAGCTCACTTGGTGCTGATGGGTGACCTCAATCTGGTCGAAGACCCGGAGATGGACAGGTCCTCACGGGCCGGCTCAGGAACGGAGGATTTGAGGTTGCGGAACTTCTGGCCCGCACATGACCTGCGAGATGCTTTCCGCGCGCTGCACCCAACTCGGCGGGAGTATACGTTTTACTCCAAGGCGTCGCAGACGAGCTCGCGGATCGACAGAGCGTTGGTCTCGCTTTCAGCGTTGGGGCAGTTGACGGAGGCGAAACATGTTCGGGTTCCCAAGTCGCTGTCCGACCACTGGTTCGCGATTCGTGTGGGCTTCTCGGTCGCCTCGTCACTGAAGAGGGGGCCGGGGATGTGGAGACTACAGGCGAAGCAAGTGAACACGCAAGGGGTGAAAGCTGTAACGGAAAAAAAATCTAAAAAAGCTGGAAGAAGAGCCTGGCTGCGGGATAGACAAGACGCTTCGTCTCCTCTCGGCAGGACTGCGCGCGCACTCAAGGGAGGAGAAAAAACGGGTCAAGGCGACGATTGCACACCTGGAGCAGGAGGTGGAGGACTTGAGACATGCAGTAATGCAACGGCCGAGGAATAAGCGGCTGCAGGACAGACTGGCGCTTCAGGAAGCCCACCTGGAGGCCTACCTTGAGAGAGACAAGGAGAGGCTCCAAGTTCTGGCGGGGATGGATGTGGAGATGAACGGGGAGGTCCCGTCACCGTACCTAACGGCAAAGATCAAGATTAGGAAGAGCCGTACGGTGGTGCATGAGGTCAAGCATAACGGGGTGAAATACCAGGGCACGCGGGAAGTGCTCCAAGCGGCGGAAGAGCACTTCAGGGCAGCTTTCAGCAACGTGCAGCCGGAGGAGGAGGTGGACTGGACAGCTTTCGCGTCGGGCCCACGCCTCTCGGAAGTTGAAGCGGCTGAACTCGGGAGAAGCTGGACGGAGGAAGAGGTGAAAGAGGCGATTGCTTCCCAGCCGAAGGGCAAATCCCCGGGGCAGGATGGGCTCCCAGCGGAGTTCTTCGCGGCGCATTGGGGGCTCCTGGGAGGGAGAGTGATGCAGATGATCAGGGAATTCGAGGCGACAGGCAGCCTTCCGGAGTGTTTGGCCACGGCGGTCACGGTGCTCCTGCACAAGAACGGAGATCGAGATCAGCTGGGAAACTACCGCCCGATTACGCTGCTAAACTCGCTGTACAAGATCATAGCCAGGGTAATGGCTACAAGGCTCAAGAAAGTGCTGGGGAAGGTGTTGACGAAGGAGCAACATGGTTTCTTACCAGGGAGGAGTCTTGCTGACGCGGTGTCGGTGGTGGTGGACGCAGTAGAAGCGGCGAACAACGGCGGGAAAGACTGGCTACTGCTGCTGGTGCACTTTCAAAAGGCGTATGACACGGTCGCACGGGGATATCTCTTCAGAGTGCTGGCGGAGCTGGGGATGCCGGAGAATTTCGTGCGTTGGACGATGGGCCTGCACAAGGATGCCGGGACGAAGGTGTCAATGAACGGATGGCTGAGCGAAAAGGTGAGCATGGAACGAGGTGTGCGACAAGGGTGTCCCCTGGCGCCATACCTGTTCCTGTGCGCCTTGGAGCCGTTGTGCAGAGAGACTAATCGCCGGAGCTTGGGGATAGGAGAGACGAACGCGGAACGCCTGGCTTACGTGGGGTACGCGGATGATACCTCCTTTCTGTTGGAAGGGGAGGCGCAACTGAGGGAATCGGAGGCTTTGTTGGAGTCTTTCGGAAACCAGTCGGGTTTAAGAGTTAATTACGACAAGTCGGTGGTACTGCCTCTGGGCTCCAACCGGGGCAAGCAGGCCCCACACGGTCTTGGTTTCAAGTGGGCGGACAAGGAAGAACCGGAGCGGCTCCTGGGGATCTGGATCACCCCGAATGGGGACGCCGGACCTTCCTGGGACAAGACATACGGGCGGGTGAAAGAGGAGTTGGGAAAATGGGAGGCGCAATACCTCACAACGACAGCGAGGGTGGTGGTGATTTGCTGCTACGTGCTGCCAGTCATGATGTTCCAGGCGCAGGTCTACTCACCGCCAGAGGAGACGTGGGAGAAAATCCGCAAGATGTGCCACAATTTCATCTCCGGCGGGGTGGCGTCGGAGGAACGGCGTTTCGTGTTATGGAGTGCATACTTGGCCAGCCTGCCAAGGAAAGATGGAGGGCTGGGGCTGGTGGATTTGAAAACCTGGCTGGATGGTCTGGCGGTACGCAGAGTGGGGAAGCTGCTGGCAGAGCCGGAGGGTGTCCGCCGGTGGCTAGCCGAGGAGGCGGCGGCGCTACCGCAAGGAACAGCAACGTGGTATGCGCATCCGGCAGTGATCAAACGGTGGGAGGGGGGAAGTGAAAGGTGGAAGGCGGCGGCCAAAGCCTTCTGGAAAACTCCTTTTGCGGACCTGCCAGAACCAAGGAACAGATGGGAGGTGGATGAGGAATGGCTATGTTTCAACAGGAAGCTGATGCACAGAGGGAAGAGTCCGTTCGGGCATCAGAAGGGCACGGAGGCGATACTGAATCTGAGGGTCCGAGATCTTCTCACGAGCCTGCCGGACGACAGCAGGAGACCAACAAGCCTACAGGAGCTGACGGAGGAGCTAGGGGATGTGACAGCAGCAGAGTGGGCACTGAAGGCATATGGAGCTCTTCCGGCGGGGTGGAAGGAGATGGCACTAGCGCCCGTCACGACACAAGCGCTGCAGGCGGCGACGAACACGGTCAGCACGTCCTCGAGCAGAACAGGGGAGAAAGTATACTGGTCGGTGACCGGAGCGGTGGGGACGAAGCTGCAGATTAGCAGTTTGCAGAAAGAAAAAGGTGGCTCGCTGACGGCCCCGGAGCGGCCGGTGAGGGCATGTTTCGAGGTGTGCGGCGCGCAACCGGTGGTTCTACGAGAGGCGAAAGTCATAGGGCCTATGGGGGTGGCGAGAACAAAGCTGCTAACGGCGACGAAACTGTTTGATGGTGGTGGGTTGGTCCCGCTACGAACTATTTGGAAAGCAATGAACAAGACGGCGGGGGTATCCAGGAGGCAAGGCGAGTGGGAAGAGATGTGGGGAAGAACGATAGACTGGAAGGCAATAATTGGTGTAAGGGACTCCCTGGCGGTCTCCTTGAAGGCGCGTGACGTTCTACTCAGAGCCCACAGCATGAATCTGCAGGTGGGAGGGAGGTTGGATTTCTTGAGGAACAGCATCGACTGTCCGCACTGTGGGGGGTATGAAACCCTAGACCACTGCCTTTTCAACTGCCCAGTGATCCAACCAGTTATCGGCGCGCTGGTGAGATCGCTGGAGCTCATGAACCCGGGCAGGAAGGCAAATTCGCTCGAAGACCTACTGTTCGAGAAAGGGGGCTCTGTGTCCGGTTTTCCGGAGGTGACGCTGATATCTACAGTGCTCCGACAAATATGGTTGGCCCGCTGTGATGCCGCGTGGCGGACCGTTCCGTTTGAAAGAAAGAAGGTGGGCCGCGTTGCGGTGGTAGGTTTCATGTCACATGCGAGAGTCGTGCTGGCTGCGAGGGTAAGAGAAGCGGCGAAACGAGGGGTGAAAGGGAGTGGTGTGTACGATGCATGGAGCCAGGTGGCAGAGGACGAGAGAGCTTTGAAGGAGATCAGCTTGGAGGACGGTCCCACCAAGTGGACAGATGCTTTCGTGTCCATCTGGCGGAACCCGCGGACAATCTACCAGCCGCCGTAGATGGTAGAGGGGGGACGGACCTCAGCCCCGATATGCCAGGTCTCAGCCTCCCAAGCCTACAGTTACGACTGCGGATCTTTGTATGTTTTTATTAATATACTCATATCCACAAAAAAAAAAAAAAAACAACAACTAAAAGGTATAATAACGTATAGAACCGCTCTCAAAGTTCGAAATCCGCAAAACTTCGCCTCTGATGCACAACGCCCTAAAAGGTGCGTGCAACAGCACCCACACAATGTTATGATGGGTACATATTTACGCACGAAATAGAAACGAGAGTTTGTATATAGCAGATTCTATTCACAAGGTTATTTTCTTTTTAGCAGTTTCTATGTACATCATTTGTACAAATGTATAACAAAAAAAATTTCAGCCTTGCCACCGCGCCTGCATCCCCAGCGAAACACGGCGCCAGCTGGCGCAATGCTGTGTCGACAGCTTGCGGGAAGCG